CCACAGGAATTAGAAGGGCCAGAGTGGGAAATCTGTGTGCTTTGTAGGTTTGAGTGTGGCCAAAGCAGAAGGTAAGAAGGACCGCCTAGGTAGAGAGAGATCTGCCACAGTTGCAAAGTAGAGAGATCACAAAGAACAAATACTTTTTAATGACTAACATCTTTGCACTTTTTTCTTGGAAATTCTCTCTTCCTTATTGATTTCTATGAGTTCCTGATGAAACGGGTGTATATTAAGTGTATTCCAAAGGTATTCTCCTGTCTTTTTTAACCTTGTTTATTATATAATTTTGCCATACACGTGTCCTTAAACAACTTTTTCTGTATCATTTGATTGTTTGCTTTTGATTTGATACAGTTCATAAATTCAAATGATAATTTAAAAAATATGCTTACAGAGATGCTTCCGTGGTACCTCTCCTTTCTGCCCTGTCCACCAACCTGCTCCCTTTGTAGGTGACCATGTCAGGATACTTCTGTAAATAATTTCTGATCAGTTTATTCTCTTAACTTTTTATCTCAGAACAGCTTCATACTTACACAATTACTTCAAAGATAGTGCAGTTATTGTATATCTCACATATATATTCCTCTATTATCAACATTTTACATTAGTATGGTGCATTGGTTATAATTAATGAACCAAAACTGAAGTTTAGACTTTATTTAGATGTTCTCAGTCTCTTCATAGTGTCCTTTCTCTGTTCTGGATCTCATCCAGGATAACATTACATTTAGTACTCCTTTCTCAAGGCTCTTCTGGGTTGTAACAAAACTCAGAAAGTTTCTCAGACTTTCTTTGTTTTTGACAGTTTTTGGATTACTATTCAGATATTTTATAAAATGGCCCTCAATTGGAATTAAAAAAATTAAAATGTACACACTGTAATATCCACCTTTTAAAAATTGTACAATTCATTGATTTTTAGTATATTCACAATGTTTTATAAACATCCCTACTATTTAATTTCAAACATTTTATCATCCTATAAAGAAACCCAATAACCATTAGCAGTCAATCCCTATTCCATTCTCTGACTACCGCTGCTTGGCTTTCTGTGTCTATGAATTTGACTATTTTGAACATTTCATATAAGTGGATTCATATCAAATGTGGCCTTTTATGTTTGAATCTTTTCATTTAGCATAACATTTTTCAAGCTTCATCCATTTTACAGCATGAATCAATACTTCATTCCTTTTTATGGCTAAATGATATTTTAATATAGATATGCCATGCCACATATTTTGTTTATCCATTCATCAGTTGATAGACATTTGAGTTACTTTCTCTCTCTATTATAATAAGATTGCTATGAAAATTCATGTACACATTTTTGCATACGTGTGTGTTTTCATTTCTTTATGGTTATATACTTAAGAGTAGAGTTATGGATCATAGGATAACTTTATGGTTAAAGTTTTAGGTATTACAAAAATTTTTTCTAAAGTGGCTGCACTAATTTACATTTCTATAAGCAAAGTATGAATGTTCCAATTTGTCCACATCCTCCATAACACTTGTTATTGTCTTTTTGATTATAGCCCTCCTACTGAGTGTGAAGTGACACCTCATTGAGCTAATCTTTTGCATTTCCCTAATGACTAATGGTGTTGAACATCTTTTCATGTGCTGATTGGCCATTTGTTTATATCATTTTTTTGGGTTAATTATTTATTCAAATCTTTCACACTTTATTCTATCTTTTGTTGACTTATAAGACTTCCTTTATAGGATATTTGCAAATAGTTTCCACCATTCTGCTGGTTGTCATTTTATTTTCTTAATGGTGTCCTTTGAAGCAAAAATTTTAATGTAATTATGGTAAAGTCTACTTTATTTTTTTTGTATCCTTTCTAAGAAAACATTGCTTACTTAAGTCAAGGTCACACAGATTTACACCCATATTTTCATCTAAGAGTTTTATATTTTAAGCTCTTATATTGAGTCTTTAATCCATTTTGACTTAATTTTTGTATATGATGGAGGAGCTCTGATCAGTTTTGCAGATTCTTTAGTTTCAGTTGTATACAGATTTTTTTTTTTAATTTTGAGGATAGTGTTACTCCAGATTTGTTGTCCCTTAGGTGTATAACTATGAGTGTATGACTTGGGGATAGGTCTAGACTTTAGGAAAAATGGAAACGTTGGGAGACATATCTGGGTCTAGCAACACAGTCCTTCTAACAAAGTGTATTGGTAAAGTCCCTCTCTCTCTCTCTCTCTTTTTTTTTTTTTTTGTATGTTTACTTCCCAATTGCAGGGAATGCTCAATCAGACTTATAAACTGATATAAATTATACTCTTTAAGTATATGAATGATCCGATATGTCATCTCTCTTGGGAGTGTGTGTAAGGCTCAGGGAACTTATCACGCCTCCTTTGGCATCTAAAGCCAGTTTCTTAAGGTGGTAGAACAGCCAGAAAACTATCAGGAGTGTGGTCAGAGTTGTCAAAAAGAGCAGGCTGGAGGAGGATTTGGAAGCTGGGTCAGTAACTAGACAATCAAGTATATTAGAGCTGCGAATTAAGTATAATTTTATCTTAATATTTATTTTTTAATTCTAAAAGTAATTAATTAACATTGTACAAAGTATAAACATGGTAAAAACATTTAAAAAAACCCACCCAAATTTTTACAGACAACAGGAGCCTAAAGGGACATGACTCCTGAAAAACATGTATGGTATCTTGCAACAAGAAAAATGACATGAAGAAAAATCTGAGGAAATATGGATAAGGTACAGATTTTAATTAACAACAATAACACATATACCAAATTTTTGTTTCCTAGTAGAAGTTATCACTGTAGTATTTGGGGCTGTTTGAAGAGCTAACACTTTTATGGAGTTTTTGGTCTGAAACAAGCTATTCTATATAGGCATATTAACTCATTTAGCTGTCAGATCATTGTGTAAGGTAAGTACAATTCCTCCATATTTTACAGATTAAAAAAAATTAGGCACAGAAAGTTAGATAATTGCCTCAAGTAACTTTGCTGTCAAGTTTCAAAACTAGAATTTGAATCAAATGATTCTGAATCCAAGTATAGTTTTCAACAGTATAGTGGTGTGTATTTGTTCATACATTTTTTTTAATGTGCAGGTAACATATATTTACATAAAATATTCACATAGCATTAATTTTACATAATATTTTACTATTTGCTCCCATGATCAGGGTTGACTTTCTATTTATAGGGGAGTAACTAAAAATAGTATGCCAGGGTGGCATATTTTAAGGTAGTATATTATGAACTCCTTCATATGTTACTCCACAAGAATGTGTAAAAATGAACTACTAGTGAAATTTTGTAGATAAAAATCTTGTTTAATATTGATAATTTCAAATGATTCTTTATATGAGCTGTATTATATTTCTATATATCAGCCTATTATTGTTTGTATACATAGGTAAAATTTTCTTAGCCTATATATCTTTCATGAGGCACATTACATAGTTTTCAAGATTTTATTATGATAGATGTCTGCATTGACACGTCTCTTCACACTTGTTTGTAAAGTATAAAATGATTGGGAACAGAGCACTAGCTTAAGGGAATGGGGAGGGGATTTTAGCTATTTAGTCACCATTAGCTCACCTTCCCCCTCAGTTCATTGACATGGAGAATTGAGAAATTACAAAGCTATGTAAAATTCTATGCAAATACAGCTTCAGGATTATTCCCTTAGCTTTCTGTCCTTAGCATTGTTTTTCTCCATATTACACATATGTAACAGTTTTGGAGTTACCAAAGTGTCTCTTAAATCTGTAAAAGGTATTATTAGGAAAAAAAAAAAAAGAAAATCATTCTATCTACTTGCTCATCCCTGTTGTATGAAAGTATTATTTTCCCCACTCTAGCTATCACTGATTATTGGTAAAAATTTCAATATACCCATGTAAAGGTTTTGTTTTATGTAGGAATCCAAGTTCATTTTTCGTTTTATAGAAATTGAGTAGACAACTTTTCCAACTTAATTACTTATCCATTCTATATTTGAGAGGTTAATTACATTATGATGGTTTTGGCATAATTTTCAAAATTTGCAAAAAAAAACAAAAACAAAAACAAAAACAAACCAAAACAAAACAAAACCCAAAACTGTAGAAAGCATAAAAAGAGGGAAAGAAATCTAACCAAATTCAAATAATGGACTATCTTTTTTTTTTAGGATTTTATTTATTGATCTGACAGAGAGAGACAGCAAGAGAGCATGGGGAGTGGGAGAGGGAGAGCCCAATGTGGGGCTGGATCCTAGGACCCTGGGATCATTATCTGAGCCCAACGTGGTTGCTTAATGACTGAGCCACACACGTGCTCTAATACAGTATCTTTTAAAAGGCATTTTCTCCTAGATTGGGTTTCGATGATCTAGCAATACTGCACTAACTGTGGTTTTGCATCGATTTAGCTTTTCCAAATCATTTTTCTTTTCTTTTTTTTTTTAAGATTTTATTTATTTATTTATTTGACAGAGAGAAACACAGCTAAAGAGGGAACACAGCGGGGGGAGGGGCAGAGGGAGAAGCAGGCCTCCTGCGGAGCAGGAAGCCCCATGCTGGGCTCCATCTCAGGACACTGGAATCATGAACTGAGCCGAAGGCAGATACTCAAGGACTGAGCCATCCAGGTGCCCCCCAAATCAGCATTTCTGACATGGTATAGGAAGACATGAAGATGACTGTAAATCAGGATTTTTGGCCCATGGTGCCTGCAAAGATTTGTTGGGGAACCAAGAATTATTTCCTCAACATTTTATATATATTTAAGAGAGAAGCGTTGCCATTGAACCCCAGGGTGGTGCTGCCGTCCTTGGAGTCCCCCTCGTAGGGCGCTAATGCCTTGGCTACTTGGAGTCAAGCAAACATCACACCCTGGCAATGCCAGTTAGCAGAGGCACTGGCACCCCTGCACTGCGGCAGGACCTCAGCACTGCGTCAGACTGTTGCGGTTGCGCAGCCAAAGGTGGAGGGGCGGCTTGCTGCGCATGCGCAGGTGGAACTGGCGTGATTAGTTGGTGTTGCTGCAGTGACTCAAGCGCAGAGTGGAGTGGTCGCCGGAGATGCCTGACGGTCTGTTCTGAGGAGCGGGTAGCAGCGCGATGGAGCGGGCCAGGTTAGCTGTGTGGATTTCTTCCCTTAGAGACAGCCTGGGGAATAGTCCTTGTTGTTTGTTCAGTGTTCCAGATTTGCAGAACTTAAAGTATTGTTGTATATAGTGGAAATCCAGGCTCTAAAGTTCTTTGTTCTGGAGAACTAAATAAGATACTTTTGAAGGTTTGGGGATTGGTTGTACCTCCCTGGACGGTGCTCTGACCATGTCGTGTCGTATTGCAGCTGGTATATGCCACCGTATCGTGTCCTGTCAGATCCTTTCTAAAGTGGCCTTTTGTCCTTGAGATCTGAGGCCATGACTGTGGTTGAGGAAGGTATATTGTGATGACTGTGGTGCGAAAGATAGGGATGGAATCACTGGGGAGTCCGCAGTACCAAGGAGGGGGTGACAGGGTAGGGCATCCGGTTTTGGTGACAGTGGTATCTCAGGGGTAGCAGCGTACTTGCAGTGGTAAGTACGGTAAGGAAGGATCTTTAGGGTGAGATATCCACTATGATGTGATCGTGGTGTAGCAATGGTGGCCGCCATGGTGGTCGTCGTGGTGGTGGGAGAGAGTAGAGGGTAGGCTGTTCTTGGTGACGGTAGTGAGGGGGAGATACGGTGGTCATGCTCGTGGTTTGGGGGGTCAGTGAGGTGGCCACAGCGGCAGTGATACAGAAGAGATGGCGGGGTGACTAGCAGGGTGATCATGGTTGCCACGGGAGGGGACAGTGATGTGACCGTCATGGTGGTGGTAGGGAGGGGCGGAGTTGGTAAGCTCTAAGGGTGGCTGTCATGGCGGTGTTTGGGAGGTGGTGGCAGGGAGGCCACCGTGAGGGTGCTACAAAGCGGGCGGCACGGTGAAAGGGGTGACCCACCTTGGATATGGTATGTGTGGGGGTGGCAAGGCAGCCATGATGGTGGTGATGGGAGGGGCGATCGGGTGGCGGTGGGTACCTTGGCAGAGTGGCCGCCATGGCGGTGGTTGAATGAGCGTGTTAAGAGGGGCGGGAGCAGTGCACCACGAGTCTGGTGGGTGGGCTGATGGAAGAGGCGAGGGGTCCACACCTTTAGTTTGAGGAAAAGGGGAGAATGTTCAGTTGTTCTCTACAGTCTTAAGAGTCTGTATTAGGGCAAACCTACTCTCCATTGCTCACCTAAAGGAATAGCTGCAGAAAAGTTTGTCTTCAGATATTTTACTCCTGTATAATTCCTTGCTTTTGAGGTTTTGGTATAAGATTAGGGGTATGGTGTGCAGAGCTTGCTTTATGAACTTGTGAGAGTTGTGCCAGGTTCTGGGATGTAGCACTGCGGAGGCGTGTCTTGTTTGCTTGGATCTTTCCCTGCCTTCGGAGTAAGGTTTTCTGGGGTCCACTGCCGCGTCACTACCATTGTGAGGCTCGCCAAGATGGCTGCCGTTGCAGATGTGCCGATTTGCGCAGGCGTGACCGGGTGGGGGGGCAGCCTACCCCTCCGCCAGTGCCGCAGTGGGGGAAGGGTAATGTATGAGGTTTCTTCCAGGCAGCAATTTACACGGCACCTTCAAAGCGCAGCGCTGAGGGGAGGAGGCTGGCAACGTGGGCAGCTGCCCCCTCCCCAAAGTGCCGCAGTGGGGAAGGGTGCGGGATTTTGGATGCGCAGGCGCGATGGGAAGACAGCGTCTCCACCCCGCAGTGGGGCGGGCACCAGAGGAGGGGGTTTGCGCAGTGTCCACTTGGTGGGGCTGGTAGCGACCCCTTTCACCTGTATGCTGTAACGACTGCTTCTTTCCACTTGTGCTGCCATGGGTAGGCAGAAGGAAGACATGGATTTGCTGAGCTGGTACCTTGGGCCACCCCTTACCCATAAGGCCGCATTGGAGTGGAGATGGCAATGGGGCAATGGGTTTATACATTCTATGCGTGCATAGACTGGGAGCCATGCTGTGCCCCTGCCTTTCTGTTGCACCATAGAGGAGAGAGATGGGGGCCTGCAGGCAGGGAAAGAAAGGCGAAGTCACCGTGATCTGCAGTGCTACTACTTGAGGCCTCCTCTATCAGTGGTGCTGATTTTAAATGTTTTCTCACTTAAAGAGAGGCCCACCTTTTCATTTTTGTATATTCCCTAGGTTATATTATGACCAGTCTAATTATTCTTAATATTCAAATGGGATTTGTGACCCTTTAGAAAATCCCTTATTACATTTGATTTCCCCTTTCCAGATTTGATAATTGTAGGACTGCATCATCTTTAAGAGTCTGTCATATTTCTTAATGTGTGGATGCTCTTTTTGTGACGCAGCCTTTATATACAGTTTCCTTAAATCGGGGGTCAGGGCTCCTCCAGCATTCTTAGGAGCTGAGACCTGTAAGTATTGTTTGCTGAAGAGGAACAGAGCAGAGAATCAAAAAAGTAGAATGCTACACGGCTGTAAGTATAGGTTGGATAAGGGAATTCTTGCCCCAGTTCAGATTTAAAGTAATGCTTTTGATCCATCATTTTTGAAATGGGAGCTACTGTGAAACTTTGGTGAGAATATATAATTAACAAAGTAACTATTCTGTATTCTGTATTCCACCTTTGGAGGGGAGCATTTTCAAGGACTTCGTTTTTCTTTGCAGAATGCTGGTGGGCAGGCTTTTCTCTTTCCCCGCCCCCTATCACAAACAAATATGGTTGTGTTAAGTTGGAATGTAATTAAGGAAAACAAACCCAGAAGTCTTGGAAAGCTTTGTTATGGAAATTGTTTCTTTTTGAGTAGTTTTAAAAATAGCAGGAGTTTGGAATTTTGCCATAAGTACGGTTTGCTCATTTTTTCCTACTCATATACATATATATACTATTTCAAATATATTTTGCCTAACTTCTGATCATTTTGGATATTTAGAAAATGAGCGTGTATTACCTTGGTCAGCCATTTTGTAGTTTTACACGCAGGCTCAGGATGTCAATATGGCGGTTCCCTTTGGAAAGACCTCTGAGGTTTCAAGGTCTCTGCCCTGCCCACTGAATATTTGGCTTAGTATCAGGACTTTTTGAAAATGAGGAGGCCTTGTGAACCCTTTCTGTGATTTAGTGCAAGGAAACAGTTCAGGGATGGTTGTATTGCTACTTAAGGCAAGGTAGTGTCTAGTTTGGATTTATTCAGATTATTTTGTATTATCTTAGTTTGCCCAGTGCATCTGTCCCACCTTTCATTGCTGAAATCCTTTCCTCATATGTGGTGATGTGACATCTTTATTCCTGTGCTTTCCTCTGAATGTGCTCAGATTTTTTTTTTAATTCCACACTTAAGATGTCAAAGTCTCAAAGTTAATCTTTTTTTTTTAATTGGAGTTTAGTTGACACACAGTGCTTCATTAGTTTCAAGTGTACAATGTAGTGATTCAACAACTCTGTTCTGCAGTGTTCATAAGTGTAGTTACCCTCTGTCACCATGCAGTGCTGTTAAAATACATATAATTGACTATATTCCCTATTGCATCCCCAGCCTGTACCTCCCACTTCCCTTCACCATTTTGTCCATCTCCACCTTCTCTTTTCTGGTAACAACCACTTTCATCTCTACTTTTCGGTGCCTGTTTCTGTTTTTTTGTTGTTGTTCTTTTTTTTTTTTATTCCACACATAAGTGAAATAGTAAGGTATTTGAATTTCTCTGACTTATTTCATTTAACATAGTACTCTCTCAGTCCATCCATCTTGTAAAATCTGGCAAAATTTTCTTTATAGTTGATTAATACTGTATTTATATACTGCATCTTTATCCATTCATCTGTTGACAGACACTCCGATGGTTGCTTTAATACCTTGGCTATTATACATAATTCTACAGTCAGACCCAGGAGTGCATGTATGTTTTTGAATTAGTGCTTTTATTTTCTTTGCATAAATACTCAGAAGTAGAATTACTGGATCATGTGCTATTTCTATTTTTAATTTTTTGAGGAACATATATACTGTTTTCCACAGTGATTGAAAAAGTTTACATTCCTACCAAGAGCATGTGAGTTTCTTTTTTCCACATCCTTACCAAGACTTATTTCTTGTATTTTTTAAAGGTTTTATTTATTTATTTGACACAGGGAGAGAGAGAGGGAGAGAGAGACAGAGAGGGAACACAAGCAGGGGGAGTGGGAAGAAGAGAAGCAGTCTTCCTGTGACCAGGGAGCTGGATGCGGGCCTTGGTCCCAGGACCCTGGGATCATGACCTGAGCCGAAGGCAGATGCTTAATGACTGAGCCACCCAAGGTGCCCAGTTGTCTTTTTGATACTAGCCATTCTGACTGGTTTGAGGTGATATCTCGTGATGTTAATGATTTGCATTTTCCTGATGATGAGTGATGTTGAGCATCTTATGAGTATGTTGGCTCTCTCTATATCTTTGAAAAAAAAAAAAAGTCTGTTCAGTTCCTCTGCCCATTTTTAATGGGATTTTTTGATTTGTGTGTTTTTGTACATGCATGCGTTGGGTTTTATGTTATTTATATATTAACCCGTTATCAGATACATTATATTACATAAACTTATCAGATATATCACTTGCAAATGCCTTTTTCTATTCAGTAGGTTGCCTGTTTGTTTTGTTGATGTTGTCCATGGCTTGCAAAAGCTTTTTATTTTCGTGTAGACCCTATAGTTTAATTTTGTTTTTGTTTCCCTTGCCAGAGGAGACCTATATAAAGGAAAATGTTGCTAAGGCCATCGTCCCAAGAAATTATTGCTTATAACTTCTTTAAGGAGTTTTATGGTTTCAGGTCTCACATTTAGGTCTTTCCATTTTGAGTTTAATCTCTTACTTTGACACTGTATTCTGCTACTTAGCTATATATAGAAAGAATCCTTGAATTAATAAGCAGGGTATGTATATTTTCTCAATATGACAGGGACAATGAGACTTGTTATCTTTCTTCAGTGTACATTAGGATTTTATTGCTTGTGTCCTTTTCCTCTTCCACTTTTGTGGCCCAGAGCCATAAAGCTTGAGTTGTTGATGGTTAAGGTTGCCTCTCTCACTAGCAATGGTTGTGTAAGGGAGTCACTTATTTTGTCTTCTAGTTCCTGAATGCTGGCTGGCTTAGAATTTGCTTTTTGATGGTTCACAGGTTTTGGCTTAGAGGCACTGATTTTCTCATGATTATGGGAAGATCTGTAGACTAAGATTACCTCACATTTTCTTTTTTTAATTTTTTGTTCTTGAGATCTTAGTAGTTGAATTTTATTAGTTTTTTTGGGCAGAATGTAAGGCATATTATATATTTGAAAGAATGTTTGGCTATTTGGAAAAACATTGTGTTGATCTTATCACTTGTTTCTCAGTGTATTTCCAAATTAGTATTATTTTTTTAATGAAAGCAATTTTGGAGCAAAAAAATTAACATTGTGCCCATAGAATTTTTTCCCTGTTTTTCTTTAACTTTTAAAAGTGTATTCTCTGCCACATGTGGGGCTTGAACTCAAAACCCTGAAACTGAGTCACATGCTCTACCAACTGAGCCAACAAACCCCATCACTTTTTCCTTTATTGTTTACTTATTTATTTAAGATTTCATTTTTAAGTAAGTCCTTCACCCAGTGTGGGGCTTGAACCCAAGAGTTGCATGTTTCACTGATTGAGTCAGCCAGGCACCTTTCTATTTTTCCTTTAAATGCTTATTTTCTGAAAGCTGGTTTCTAGATTGGGAATGCAGTAGAAGATCGTAAATGCATTCACATGTATGTATATTTAGAATACACTTCCTATATTGTGAAAACAATGCTGCTCTTTGATTATTTTACATGTAGCTTTAAAAATGGATTTAGGGAAGCCTGGGTGGCTTGGTCAGTTGAGTGGCTGCCTTCTGCTCGGGTCATGATCTCGGTCTTGGGATCGAGTCCTGCATCAGGCTCCCTGCTCAGTGGGGAGCCTGCTTCCTCCTCTCCCTCTGCCTGCCTTTCTGCCTACTTCTGATCTCTGTCTGTCAAATGAATAAATAAAATTTAAAAAAAAATGGATTTAGAAAATTGAATAATTTCATGTGCTGTTTCATTTATCCCATGAACTCAGATCTTTTTATACTGAGCAACTGCTACGAAGGAATAAAAGAACTGAAGATTTTTATTTCTTTAATTTTTTGGTAATGGAATATTTTCAATTATATGATTAGATCAATCATAATTGATGGCCTATGAGCCATAAAGGTTTATTATGGTTCTTTTTATTACATAATTTTAATATATTAACAAATACATTTGTGAAGTTATGTTTGATCAATAAATACGTCATTCCTTTTTGGTACTGAATGACGTTTCCATTGTGTTGACTATACCGTACCACACCATATTTGGTTTATCCATTTTTTTAGTGGTTGTACTTTAAGTGGTTTCCACTTTTTGGCTCTTAGATAAATGTTGCTGGGAACATTCACACTCAAGTTTATATATATATATGTATATGTATATATATGTATACATATATATATGTATATATATTTTTACTCCCTCTTATGTTCAGTTTGGCAGTACATAATTTTACTCCCTCTAGGAGTGGGATTAGTGTCATATGCTTACTCCATGGTACACATTTTTAGGAAGTGCCAGAAGCTCCACCATTTCACATTCCCACTACCTGTTTCTCCACCTCCTCCACTCTGGAGGTATGAAATGGTATGTTTATAGTGTTTATTTGCATTTCCCTAATAACAGTAGTGTTATAAAGTATTTTTTTAGTGCTCATATAAATGTCTGTTCCAATCTTTTCATCCATTTTTAAGTGGAGTTTTTTTCATTTTATTGAGTTGTAAGAGTACTCGAGCTGTGTGAATTGCAAATATTTTCTCCCATTTGGCTGGCCAGCTGTACATAAAGTGTCCTTGTAGCAAATACATTTTTTACTTCAGATGAAATCCAACTTAAGGATTCCTTTCTCAGGTACTTCAGGTATCTTAAGAAAACCATTGCCTAATCAAAGGTCAAGGAGAATAGTAAATTATATACTTTTCTCATTTAAAAAATCTGATATGTACATAATATGCTTTTTAAATGATTTCTATTGCTTGATTGAAACAGTAAAGCTTTTTTAAGCAGTAAAAGAACTTGGGCTTATTGGTAAGCTATTTGATTGGGTTACTTTGCATAATCTAACATGAATTCGAAAATAACAAGCGTTCAAAGAATTAGTTTGGGGGATGCTTCTTTTGAATTCTGCCATGGAAATACTACATTGCATGACTTGTAAAATCCTGTTTATGCTATCCTCTCTGATTAGCATTGTTAAGTTGCAGTTTTCAGAGTGGTTCCTGTAGTTTCTAACATGGATGGATGACCCAGGTGGGAGATTACATGCTCACATCCGTTGAGCAGCCATTTTGTGAGCTGTTTTGCCGATCATCAGACAGTGGTAGATATGTTGGTTTTATGTATTTATTTTTTGTTTAAGCATCCCTTTTATTTCTTGTTTTATAAATCGTAGGAAAACAGCGTTTGCACAGGGGGTTGCTTTAGTAGAAATTTTATAATTTAAATGTTACGCTTTTTCCATTATACTAAAAGATCTGTCCCAATAAAATATTTTCAGGCCAGGGGCACCTGGGTGGCTCAGTCAATTAAATGTCTGCCTTTAGCTCAGGTCATGACCTCAGGGTCCTGGGGTCAAGTCCCTCTTCAGACTCCCTATTCAGGGAATATGCTTCTTCCTTTTTGTCCCCCCTTTCCTACTTCTCTCTCTCTCTCTCTCTCTCAAATAAATAAATTCAAAGTATCTTTAAAATATTTTCAAGCCAGTTTTGGAATCAACATTGCTGTTTTTTTCAGGTGATGTAGGTATGGGTAGGAGGTTAGTGCATATATCTGTAAATGTATAGCTTTCTATCTGTATATATAAAAACATGTGGAAATAAATATTTTCTTTTTGCTTATTTCTCTGATATATCCAAGCCCCCAGTTTTCTGATATCTCATGCTGTCAGGGTTTTTTTTTATTTTTTAAGATTTTGTTTATTTATTTGACAGAGAGAGAGACAACAGAAGCAGCAGCAGAGGGAGAAGCAGGCTCCCCAGAGAGCCAGATATGGGTGGGACCTGATCCCAGGACCTGAGATCTTACCCGATCCAAAGGCAGACGCTTGACTAAGCTGTCCAGCCTCTTGCACCTCTGGGGGCTTTTTTTTTTTTTAAACACAGATTTATTTATTTGAGAGAGTGAGGGGGAAAGAGACAGAGCATGCTTGTGAGTGAGGGTAGTGACGGAGGGAGAGAAACCAAGCTGACAGCCTGCTGAGCACAGAGCCTGACAAGGGGCTCCATCTCACCACCTGAGATCATGACCTGACTGACTGAGATACTCAGGCATCTCTGACATTAAGGGGCTTCTAAAGGGAGGAGGTGACTTTAGGGTAGATCCTGACTACTGGAGGATATTGTCATTAAAATTTTGCCTCCTTTCTTTCCCACTATTTTTATTGAGATAAAATTGGCATACATTATTACTGTACCTTGTTTTAATTGGATTATAAGCACTTTTTTTCTTTTTAAGATTTTATTTATTTATTTGACAGACAGAGACCACAAGTAGGCAGAGAGGTAGGCAGAGAGGAGGAAGTAGGCTCCCTGCCGAGCAGAGAGCCTGATGCGAGGCTCCATCCCAGGACCCCAAGATCATGACCTGAGCTGAAGGCAGAGGCTTTAACCCACTGAGCCACCCAGGTGCCCCGATTATAAGCACTTTAAAAACTCCATCATATTAAATATAGTTTTAAATACAGCCTTTAGAGGCTCAGTCGATGCTCTGGTCTTCAGCTAGGTCATGGTCCTGGAGATCTGGGATCAAGTCCCACATTGGGGTCCCTGGCCAGTGGGGAGTCTGCATCTTCCTCTGCCCTTCAACCTGCTTGTGCTCTCTCTCACTTGCTCGCTCTCTCAAATAAAACATTTTAAAAATAAATATAGCCTTTAAGTAAGTGGTTATTTTAAAATTGATGAAGTCTTATCAAATAAATTATTCTTTCTGCTTCAGGGACCGCTTACACCTGAGACGGACTACAGAACAGCACGTGCCAGAGGTGGAAGTCCAAGTCAAACGTAGGAGGACAGCCTCACTAAGCAACCAAGAGTGAGTAGTCTCGTTTGAGAACCAATTTAGAGAAGATACAGCAAAACAGTCGAATCAACCTTAACCAGGTAGTACTAACTTATGTTAAAAATTTCAGTAAAATGCATTTTTTCCCAAATGTGTAGATGGTTTTATCAATAAAATTCTAAATCCTTCAACTTTGATATTAAAATTATTTGTTTAATTTATGTTGTTACTAAATTCACTTCTATGTTTGCAATTTTTTTTATTCATTGACCAAATGCTAATTTATGTATTCATGCATATGCTGCATTATTCAGATTTTTATTTTTCATTAGTACATTTATCCAATTAAAAACGTAAAATGTAAGGAACCTGGGTGGCTCAGTCAGTTAAGCAACTGCCTTGGGCTCAGGTCATGTCCTGAGATCTAACCCTGCATTGGGCTCCCTGTTCAGCAGGGAACCTGCTTCTCTCTCTCCCTCTGTTTCTCCTGCTTCTGCTCTCTCAGTCGTGCTCTCTCTATCAAATAAAATCTTTTTTTTTTAAGATTTACTTACTTATTTATTTGACGGAGAGAGTGCACAAGTAGGCAGAGCAGCAGGCAGAGGGAGAGGGGAGAAGCAGGCTCTCCACTGAGCAGGGAACCTGATGCAAGGCTCTATCCCAGGACCCTGGGATCATGACCTGAGCTGAAGGCAGCTGCTTAACCGACTGAGCTACCCAGGCACCCCTCAAATAAATAAAATCTTAAAAAATACTTGAAGTGTATACATTTGTTCCTCTTTGTTTTTTAATTTAAAGATTTTATTTATTTATTTGACAGAGAGAGAGATCACAGGTAGGTAGAGAGGCAGGCAGAGAAAGAGGGGGAAACAGGCTCCCTGCTGAGCAGAGAGCCCAACATGGGGTGCATTCCCAGGACCCTGAGATCATGACTTCAGCCAAAGGCAGAGGCTGAACCCACTGAGCCACCCAGGCACCCCCATTTGTTCCTCTTCTTACATAGGATATCTACACATAGATACACACACTTTTATTTTTTTAATTTTTTCAAAAGATTTAATTATTCATTTTAGGAAGAAAAAGAGTGTGAGGTGGAACTGGGGGAGGACCGGAGAGAGAGAGAAAATCTCTAGCAGACTCACTACCAAGCATGGAGTCAGATGCAGGACTCCATCCCAGGACCCCAGATCATGACCCAAGCCAAAATCAAGAGTTAGACACCTAACCAACTGAGCCACCCTGATACCCTCCGACACTTTTAAATTTAGGTTTCCAAAAGGGGGATTTTAACAAAATATACCAACATTTTGAATCACCTGATACATAGTATTTATTGGATTTTCTATTTTATTATTATCACAAATCTTGACAGAATCAGTATGTAGCATTCTTTTTATTTTCCTAAAGCTATTTTAGTTAGTTATTATCCAAAATTACACATATTAAAAGTACATGAATATTGTCTCTTTATAAAACACATAACTTTGAGATAGAAAGTATCTGTTTCAACTTGCCATCTGTCCTTTCCCCTTCCCTCCCTAGAGAGGATCCATAGATATGTGGATGTCTATACTTTCATACCTTTTCCTGTTTATGTGTATGCACACATGGAAGGGGGGAGAGGAATGGAGGCTTACTTATAATCTCTTTACATATGCAATATTTATTGTTCTGCAACAATATGTCTTGGGGATCTTGCTATGTCAGTACATATAAATACCTTATTTTAGAAATTGTAGAATATGGGTGGTTTAATAATTTCATTTATCATTAGCTTACTGATAGATAGGTTTGCATTTCTTAGCTATTATCAACAAAGATAAGGGCAGTCAATTTGAAAGTTAATATTCTTTAATATTAATTATTTACATTTTATTTCAGTTCCTCAAATACAAAGCTTTTTAAAAAAAGGCTGTTATAAAATGGAGGTAAAATTTTGTCTTCTATTTCTGTTATTTTCTTATTTTATATGGGAAAATTGCAATGTATTCACTTGCACAGTTTGAATTACTGGTGAGGCTAGCAATTTCCCCATTTTCCTTGTTTGTTTATTCTTCTGAGCTCATTATTCTTTACATTTTTAGTTTGGGAACTTCTTTAAAAGAAGTATCTTCTGAATGGATATTCTATATAATTTGTTCTATTTTTTAAAAGATGTATTGGTGATGGATACTAAGGAAGGCAGAGATTTCATGGAACACTGGGTGTTATACACAAACAATCATGGAACACAACATCAAAAATCAATGATGTACTGTATGGTGATTAACATAACATAATAAAAATAAAGTAAAATAAAGATAAAATAGGTTCTAACCAACAAAAAAATAAATTAAAAGATTTATTGAACAAGGGAGAGAGCATGAGCCATGCACAAGTGAGAGGGGGTGGGACAAAGGGAGAAAGAATTCTCAGGGAGATTCCCTGCTGAGCATGGAACAGAGTTCAATCCCATAACCCTTAGATCCTCACCTGAGCCAAAATCAGAGAGTTTGGCCACTTAACCAACTGAGCCACCAAGTTGCCCTATAATTTGTCCTTTATAATAGACCTTTTGCCATATTAATTTTCTCTTGTATGGTAATGTCTTTTGTAACTTAAAAGCTTTCTTTAAAAGATTTTATTTATTTATTTGACAGAGAGAGACACAGTGAAAAAGGGAACACAAGCAGGGTGAGTGGGAGAGGGAGAAGCAGGCTTCCCACTGAGTTGAGAGCTCAATGCAGGACTCAATCCCAGGACCCTGGGATCATGACCTGAGCCAAAAGCAGATGCTTAATGACCGAGCAGCCCAGGCATCCCGTATAACTTCAGAGATTTTAAAAGTGCCATTTTTGGGGCACCTGGATAGCTCAGTGGGTTAAAGCCTCTGCCTTCGGCTCAGGTCGTGATGCCAGGGTCCTGGGATGGAGCCCCACATCTGGCTCTGCTCAGCAGGGAGCCTGCTTCCCCTGCCCTCTCTCTCTGCCTGCCTCTGCCTATTTGTGATCTGTCTGTTAAATAAGTAAATAAAATCTTTTTTTAAGATTTTATTTATTTATTTGACCGAGATCACAGGTAGGCAGAGAGGCAGGCAGAGAGAGGGGAGAAAGCAGGCTCCCTGCTGAGCAGAGAGCCCGATGTGGGGCTCAATCCCAGGACCTTGAGATCACGACCTGAGCCAAAGGCAGAGGCTTTAACCCACTGAGCCATCCAGGCGCCCCAGTAAATAAAATCTTTTTTTTTTTAAAGTGCTATTTTTACCCAGGTCCTCTGGAAGTATCTTAAGGTTGTTTAGAGATTGCAGTTGAGGGGTGCCTGGGTGGCTCAGATGGTTAAGTCATGATGTCCAGGTCCTGGGATGGAGGCCTGAGCTCTGCATCAGGCTCCAGCTCAGTGGGAAGACTGTTGCTCACTCAACTGCTCTGTCTCTCTCTCTTAAATGACTAAATATAATCTGAAAAAAAAGATTGTAGTTGAGGTATAGGGGATTCTTTTGAAGGGGGATTCTTTTGTTAGTGGATAATGGTTTTATCGTAGTTAAATTTTGTTAGAGCCTTTATCTTGCGCAGGACTAGTGTGAACCAGCATAATAAAATCTCATAACTATCTCTAAGCCCTCTTTTAGGTGTCATTTTCTTGTCCAAATCTATGGAAACATTTTATTGCTTTCAAAGAAGAAATAAGTTCATTTCCTAACCTCTGCTGTTTATATTATATATAAATACTATAGGGTGCTAAATGGGGGAGGGGAGTTTCGAGTTAGGGAAATAGTGTAATTTCCCCAGTCATTTCTCTCATTTTGAGAGTAAGTGTATTATAAAATGGGTAAGCAGTATTGTTACTTGCTAAGCTTTGCATACTGATACGTATGCTCAGAATTCTCTCAGTATTTGGATAGTAGTTAATAGCTGTAGTCTGTTTATTTTAATGATAACTCATCAATATATATCCCACATTTTCCCAGACCATAAGTGCTAAAAGTCAGTATTCCAGAGAAATTGTGTGGTACTGGTTATAATGCTAGTAAAGATTTGCTATTCATGTTCCATCTAAGATACAAAGTAAAATTGAATAAAAACCAAAACGATGCAGACAAAACCTCTCGTAGACCAACAATTAATGTTAATAGAAGCTTGTTGGTTTTTATTCTTGGAATTTATGGTTGTACCATCTTCCAATAGATCTATCAAGTAAATCAGTTTTTGATCTTTGGGGCTGGTGAATGTCTTTCCCATTTCTTGATGTATTATAAATTTGAGATAATTTGGAGATGGGGGCTGGAGAGTCTCCTGGAGAGTATATTTTATGCATCTTTTTGGATGTGTTTCTAAATTATATTAGCGTTTTATGAAATGAAATCCGTATTGCATTTTATTTTCTCAATTCTAATTTAGTCTACAGCTGGGTTTCAGGTTAACTAAGAGGAACACTCCAACAGGAGTTTTAAAATGCCAAAGAATATATTTTTTTTCTCTGAAACACTTCTAGAATCATATTAGGTGAGACTCTTAGTTGCCTTTTGGAAATAAATAAGTAAATAAAATAAAATGGGACAATAAAAATGGGACAGTTTAAAAGCATGAGCAGTGTAATTCAGATTCTTAATGGAGCTAGTGCAGATCTGACATGTTAAGGGTACAGTACCCTCCCTAAGATTACCTTCAGTGCAGAGACCAATTGCAAGTCCTCGAGTTTCCAGGCCGCTTGCACTTCTGAACATCCGGATAGAGATTCAGGGTTTCCACTGTTTCCTCAGGTTCCATAATTTGTTGGAATGATTCACAGCACAAAAGAAAAGCACTACGCTTACTATTAGTGATTTCTATAGAAGATACAAATCAGGATAAGCCAAACGTAGAGACTCCTAGGACACGATCCATAACTTCATGACCTTAGGTTGTAATACTCTCAGCTCATCCGTGTATATATATATCACCAACCAGGAAGCTCACCAGAACTTTGGGTGCCTTCTAAAGGTTGTTTTTTTTTTTTTTAAGTATTCATCATCACTAGCCATCAGGGAGATTCAAATCAAAACCACATTGAGATACCACCTTACACCAGTTCGAATGGCCAAAATTAGCAAGACAGTAAACAACCTGTGTTGGAGAGGATATGGAGAAAGGGAACCATCTTACACTGTTGATGGGAATGCAAGTTGGTGCAGCCACTTTGGAGAACAGTGTGGAGATTCCTCAAGAAATTAAAAATAGAGCTTCCCTATGACCCTGCAATTGCACTACTGGGTATTTACCCCAAAGATACAGATGTAGTGAAAAGAAGGGCCATCTGTACCCCAATGTTTATAGCAGCAATGGCCATGGTCGCCAAACTGTGGAAAGAACCAAGATGCCCTTCAATGGACGAATGGATAAGGAAGATGTGGTCCATATACACTATGGAGTATTATGCCTCCATCAGAAAGGTTGAATACCCAACTTTTGTACAACATGGACGGGACTGGAAGAGATTATGCTGAGTGAAATAAGTCAAGCAGAGAGAGTCAATTATCATATGGTTTCACTTATTTGGGGAGCATAAGGAATAACATGGAGGACAAGGGGAGATGGAGAGGAGAAGGGAGTTGGGGGAAACTGGAGGGGGAGATGAACCATGAGCGACTGTGGACTCTGTTCAATCTGTGGGTTTTGGAGGGGCGGGGAGTGGGATGTTGGGTGAGCCTGGTGGTATTATGGAGGGCATATATTGCATGGAGTATTGGGTGTGGTACATAAAAAATGAATTCTGGAACACTGAAAAGAAAAAAAGATAAAAATTGAAAAAGAAAAGAAAATTTCATGTATTTATTTGAGAGAGAGAGAGAGAGCATGGGTTGTGGGTGGAGGGAGTGGCAGAGTGAGATGCAGACTCCCTGCTGAGCAGGGAGCCTGACATGGGGCTTGATACCAGGACCCCCAGGACCCCGGGATCATACCTTAGCTGAAGGCAGATGTTTAACCAACTGAGCCACCAAGGCACCCTGTCTTCTAGAGTTTTTATTAGAATTTCATTATTTAAACATGATTGAATCATTCAGCGTGGGGTTGAACTCCGTCTTCCTTGATGCCATCCCTTCCCAAGAGGTCAGGTCCATGGCCCTACACTCTAATCACATACTTGCTCTTTGTGGCTTGGCCAGCCCTTATCCTGAATCCTCTTGTTAGCATTAGCTCAGGTGTGATCCAAGGGGCCCATCAAGAATAATGAAGATATTTCTATCACTTGGTAAATTTGAGAAATTAAAGATTACTTCCCATGAGCCATAGGCAAAGTCCAACCTAATTTGTTATTATATAACAGAATGTTTAAAGTGTATTTAAAAACAAGGAAAATCGTGGAATACCTTTTTTCAGGCCCGTTTCCAAATGTAACTACTATTGAGTAGTTTCATAAATAGACACATACATATATACAATGCATATGTGTGTGATACATACATACACACACACTTAGCAAGAACAGAATTGCTGGTGATTTATTTTTATGCTTGACTTGTTAGCCAGCAATACTTCTAAATCATTATTCATGGAATCAGATTCACAGCCAAATAACTGATCCATAGAGATATGTTGAGGACTTTTGTCTGGAATTCCCTTCCAACTAATAGGTAGGTAGTTTATATAGTTCAAGAACCTAAAAGCTTGGGCTCTGGTATTTCCTTGTTTCAGATGGTTACTCCTTGGAGTATTCAGTATGGCTAACAGCCTTAATGTCTTGCCGGAAATGCCTTAGCAAATGCCTCCTTCTTGCTAAGGGTTAAAGAATTGTTTTCAGATAGGAAAGTGAGTGATGCATATGGTTCTGATGTTTTTTCCAGAGGGTTTTTTAAAACAAAAGAACTTTTTTTTTAATTTTAAAGTTTCTTTGTGTAGTATCCCCAAAGTAGTAAGTGTCCTTCTGTTCCTTGCACGTTCTGTGTACAGAGACTCCTGTTTCTTCTTATAATATCTTTATAAGATAATGGGAAGTTCTGACCCCAATTGAGGCTCTCCTTAATGTAAGGATCTACACATTTTCTTTCATATTGTTATCCTTTTAATTTTCTCTTTCCATTTATATTCATTTTAATGTATTGTGCTCTGGTCATAGGTGTCAGCTGTACCCAAGGAGATCTCAGCAGCAGCAAGTACCTGTGGTGGATTTCCAGGCGGAACTGAGACAGGCATTCTTAGCTGAGACACCAAGAGGTGGTTAAAGCAGTTATTGGAACATCCAGGTAGCTGATTTCCAAGTGAAAAAAACCAGGTTAGAATTAATTCAGTAATGGTTAAAAATAAATAAATAATGTGTTTGGAGGTCACTTAATTATTTGGGATGTGTTGAAATAAGTTTTGTTCTTAAAAATATCCTAATCAAAATTAAATAACTGTTCTTATTGTAGGCACATTGCAGAAAGATCAAAAAAGTAAAATCAAGCAATAGGACCTTGGTCGTCTTAATCCAACACTTAGTTTCCCAGTCATTCTAGTTCATGCTTTTTAGGTGGTTTTATTTGTGTCTAATTTCTGTTGATTTTCCAATTAATATTATATAAACATACTGCATTATAAATAGCTGCTGAATGTCCTGCTAGTGAAAGCTTTGTAATTATCATTTGTGAAAAACTTAATCTTTTTCCTGGTAGTTTTAGTAAAGCTTCAGTGAACTGCTGAGCATAACATATTAGGATCATCTCCTTTGATATGCAGATGTTAAAATAAACTAAATCAGAAATATAAGCTTAGGTACATTTTCTAATTGTATTACGAAGTATTAGTCCCTGTTACCCTGAAAAAAGGGAATACCAGTTACGATATACTTTTACCTGCATTGATTGTTTTAATTACATTATCAGTTTTGCCTGCGGAATTACAAATACATACCACATTCATAATCAAATAAGTTAAATAATTTTCCATGCATATTTACTAATTATCCCTTTTTTGTTTTGTCTTTTTCACTTTTTTTTAACAATGTATTTGAATCAGCTGACAATGTCACTGTATTTGATTCAGCTGACAATGAAATAAAATTGTTATCCATGATATTTTCAATGTGATATAGATTTATTTATAGTCTGTCTTTTTATGTTTTATGTGACCTTTTTTAAATTTTAAGATTTGAATACCTGTAATCCAAAGGGTTTAATATACTTTTTAGAAACCAAGAGACAGTTTTATAGATGAGTTTATTCTAGATTTTCTATTTCTGTTAGTGTATTACCTCTTGACTCAAATTACTTGGGCCTGTTTATAGCCACTATTTTGGTATTAAATTAAAAGATAGAAACAAATTTTCTAAGAAGAATTCTCCCCAGCTGAATCCTGTACTCAGCATTCTCCAGTGATTACCTGGAGCTGATTACAGGGCAGTGGACTTTATTTCAAACAGTAGAATCTGAGCATTGTCCCCAGCTGTTCCCCCAGAGTAAAGCCATTTTTAAGTGATTAAGTGAGAACAGATTTTTTTTTAAACCAGGAATTTTTTTCTCTTCATTGCAGTTCGTATACTCTTACAGTTCCTAAGTATAATTTAATTAATTAATTTATTTATGTGGGGCTCAAACTTAATGACTCTGAGATCCAGAGTCACATGCTCCACCAACTGAGCCAGCCAAGCATCCCTGTAATAATTAAATCATACAGTATGATCTTGCATATAGGATCATCTGATTTTCTGATCTTATGTTTTATTCTAGTCTCAAGTGTTTGTTAACCAGCACTAGTTTCTAGGATTATTTTAGCTATACCAGAGGTTTCGCAAAGGAAATTTTAATTGGCACACAGCCTTGTCCTTTCATTTGTGTATGGTCTGTGGCTGTATTTGTCACTACAGAATATTGAAGTAGTTGTGACAGATTGAATGGCAGGCAAAGCTTGAAATACTATCTTTTCCCTTAAAAGAAAGTTCTCAGGCATCTTTCTTAGAGAATCACATTTAAAGATGAAAACACCAAATTGAGATAATAGGGGGTCTAGTAATATTATAGAAGGTGGTGAAGAGAAAGGGCTTATTAGGAAGGAAGGTATATGAAAGTAAACATTAAAGGGTAGGGAACCAGATAAATTTCTAGGATAAAGGTCTAAGAACCATATTAAAGAATTATATCTAAAGAGTAAATGTAGATTGGGTAGTTTTTAAAGACATTTTGACAAGTGTTATGTTTCCTTTTTTACAATATACATCTAAAGCTTCCAAGTGATAGACAAGAAAAATGGGGAGGTAAACCAAAGATTTTAAAACCCATGTTTAAACCACAGCATAAGGTTGAATTAAAAAAGGAAAAATGATTGAATTTTCTATCATTTTGCCCATTTGCTTTTTTTAGTTGGAATCATGCATTTAAATAAGTTGATTTTGTGTTTATATCACTTAAATGTATATCACTAATATTTCTTCATTTTACTATAGTCAACATAATTATCATTTGTAATGAATAAATGCTAGTTCATTCATGATTTACTTTTCCCTTGTACTTGTTTTTTTCTTTTTTTCTAGTTTGCTATGCTTTATAAATATTCTATATTTTAAAGATACATTTGGTATCCTAAATTTATTGGGATAAGGATCCAGTTGTGCAGGGTATACATATTAGTATGACTCTTAAATGTTTTGTTACATTGCTTTGTGACAGCATCATAAGCATTGTTGATTACCATCAAGGATAATTACTACTAGCGCTAGTTTCTCAGTATCATCTTTGTGTGTCTTTTTCTTTAATAAATAAACAGTTCCAAAAATGGAAAATGTCTGTGTGTGTGTGTGTGTGTTTGTGGTTTTAATTGGCATTGCTTTGTGGGTGAGTACTTTCCCATTTATGTGTGTTTTCTCCTTTTAATTGTTTAACTTCTATGCACATTTTCTGTGAGGGGTGTGATATTTTACCAGATTTGAATGAGCACTAATGCATTACCATTATTACATGATTTCTCATTTGTTGTATGTATCTTGGCCAAGTTTGAGCATCTTATCATTTCACTTATATTTTTATATTTTTCACTTATATTTTTATAAAGTTTAATCATTTGAAAGTCCAGACTTTCCAAAAGTTTAAGAATTTTTCCTATGAGGAATCTCCGGGCCCCAGTCAGGAACCTGGGGCCATTTATTTGCTTACATGGTTTTTTGATGTAAGGAGATTTATCGTAACTGCTAATTCATCATTGCGGTGTCATGTTGCTGCTCTTATGCTCTACTTCATGAAGGATTTTGTTGTCATTTTTTATGGAGATAAATTTGATCAATCTCTTAAGTGAAACATCCTTTCCCTTACAAGGGTTCAGGATTATGGTTTGCTAAATTTAGGGAACTTACTAAATCACTTCAGTCAACCTTTAATCTGAGTTGTGAGTAAAATGTGTATCTCTTACTTATATAGAATATTTTATTTTATATTACACATCCGTGTTTCCAGTTCTTTAGTTTATGACTCAAATCTCTAGGTACATTTTTATACTTGGTAACTGGCTAACAACATCTAGTAGATGTGGGAAGGGTTTGGAAACTCAGACAGTTTCGGTGATGGACAGAAACAGTACCGACTGGCTTTCCATTTTACTCTTCCACTATACAAAGAAATGTTTTTTGGATTTGTTGGTTTCTTATAGTTAAACCATGAATTAGGTCGATGGTTATGTGTTCACTGAAATGCCAGTTGGGACAGAACATTTAAACTGAAGCTGATAGGGAAATCTGTACTCAAATCTTTTTGGCATTTGAAGGTAAAAGTCTTTTTTCTGAATTTTAAATTTTCATTGGAAAGGTGACTGACTACAGATTTTACCTTAAATGCACATTTGATGCTGGGTCCCATTACACCCTTACATAAGAAACTTTTCAGTGATTATATTTTTTCCCTTAAATGAAATCTTGAAATCTAAACCTACATTTTTGTTGTTGTTGTTGTTGTAATAATCACGGTCTTGTGGCTTAGTGTCTCGTAGCATGTCTCCATTGTTGATGGTAGAGGGGGTGTACTCCAGTAATAGTGTCTTGTTGAATGGTTAGCATTATTTGTTTTTGTTTTATTTTTTCAATAATGGCAATATAAAAAGTAATGTTACAGACTTTGTATATTATGTGAAGGTCTTGACTTTTTACATTTTAAGAACAGCTCTATTGATATATATTTTATATACTATAAAATGTACCCAATTTTTTCATAAATTTACTGACTTTTGCAACCATTGCCAGGTACTTTTAGGATGTTGCATTACCAAAGTAAGATCCTTCATGCTCATTTACATACATTCTATTTCCACACCCAACTTCAGGTTACCATTTAATTTGCTTTCTGGGGGTGCCTGGGTGGCTCAGTGGTTAAAGCTTTCGCCTTTGGCTCAGGTCATGATCCCAGAGTTCTGGGATCAAGCCCCGCATTGGGCTCTCTGCCCAGCAGGGAGCCTGCTTCCACCTCTCTCTCTCTCTCTCTCTCTCTGCCTGCCTTTCTGCCTGCCAAATAAATAAATAAATAAAATAAAATAAAAAATAAACTATCTTTAAAAAAATAATTTACTTTCTGTTTCGATGTTTATTTGTTTTCCATTTCTATAGATAATTTGCTTTCTTCTATAATAGATTGCTGAAGACTTTATTTTGTAATAGATACATATTAAAAAATAAAAATTGCTAAAAGAGTTGCAAGTATAGGATTGTAGACTCTGCTTCCTAGATAATGCTGTCAGGATTAAGAACATCTATATTATAGGCCTTAAACTACTCCTATGTTGGCTAATTGAATTTAAAATAAGAAGAAACTACAATTTTTGGGGAGGGGAGCGTGCATTAGTATGATGATTTGAATAGATCCTTTGAGATCTTTACATGCCACTTTTATGCAAAATGTTATTTCATGTACAAATATTGGATGCTACAGAAGGGGTTATCCCTGATGTCATTGTATCTTTAAAGATGTAAATTAGGTAGATGGGAGAAGAAAAAAGTGTATAGCTATTATTGTCGGTTAAGATAAATGTTAAGAGGCATTCCTGGGTGGCTCAGTCTGTTGAGCATCTGACTTTGGCTCAGCTGACATCAGGCTCCCTGCTCAGTGGGGAGTCTGATTCTTCCTTTGCCCTTCCCTGCCCCCACCCCCTGCTTGTGCACGTGCATGTGCACAGTCTCTCTCAAATAAATAAATCCTTTTTAAGAAAGAGAAGCGTGGACAGTGTTGAGGATATAGGTAGATTGTCTTTCAGAAAAAAGGCACAAATGGTGCATGGCAGTTTTCATTTGGAGAACAAAGTTTAGGAGATACTCTGAGTAATGATGAATTTATTTTTTAGACAATATGGTACTCCGAATTCTCATATTTAACTACCATCACATTTTTGTAATTACAGAGAAACATCTACATCTTACCACTTTAACTGAGTTATTTCTTTCATACCATTCTGTTACCTTCTGATCTAGTGTCCTGTAGTTCCACATGGAAAACTGTATCATCAAAACAATAAGGTAAAAGAAATGGTTTGAGGATACAGTTCACACTATATTTTTTTTATATCCTGAAATAGATAATTCATAATTTACTTAAGCAGTGTACATTGTTGTTTGAAAAGTGCCTCTATTGAAAACAGAACAGTTTTACTAGAAATGTCTGTATTGTTAAAAGTAAAATTATATCAGATTATGTTTATGATATGGGGTTACTTCTATGCATAAAACCAAATTCCCATTCAAGTCTAATTTGTGTATTTACTTTTCAAATAAGTATAATTAGTAGCTTGAGACCTTTTCCAGTTTTTACTCTGTTGGTTGCCAGACTTAAGAGCATTTTCATTAGTATATTGGGAAAAACAACTTTTATCATAATGCATATTTTTTGACTGCTAAGAAAGTTGCCCGTATAGTCATATAAACAAACGGGGGAATTAAGGTGAGGGAATAGTGAAATTTGGTATTCACTTGGTGGGTGTAAGAACATGGGAAGTGTTTTGAACATGTCTGTTAAAATGGTTTTCATGAAAAATTGTCTGCCTGTTTTTAAACATGGTAGATCGCAGTGCAGCTAGATCATGCTTTCCTCTGCAGGCTCCCATCTACTGTTTGAAGCTTCTGCCCCAAGCTTGCATTGTTTATAGGAGAACCTGCGTCATACCTTTATCTGTAGCCTTCCCTTAGGTCTTAAGGATCCTGAAACCTTCCTGTGGACATTGGATTTGGTGGAACAACAACCATGGTAAGGTGTATATTAAGACAGGAGGGTGAAAAGCTACTGGAAGGACCTAGTATAATGGTTTAGCAGAGTGTGGGGTATCTTTGGGTTCTTAATGTTAGAAATAAGAAATCAGTCTTTAAGAGATGGTATCTCATTGTATGAAGTATCAACTGAAGAACAGCAATGTCTGTCCTCCTATAGTAGTGATAAAGTGGTTGAAAATGTCTTAAGGAGGGATATTACATGTGAGAAAATACAGAAGAGAGTTTTCCTTATGACTTAAAATAGTAAGAGACCATCCAGTGGATAGAAGACTCAGGTTATAATAGACATAAATTCTACATTAAAGATGGAGGGGTTTAGCAATTCGGGGCAGGAGAAATTCATAATAATAAACAGTATCTAAAGAGATAAAACACCCTAATAATCTGTTTTGTCATTCTGTTAAAGTTTAGATTACTTATAGCCTATATTCCCGACAGGAAAGATATCTTAAGGCAGCAAAAATTGATTTGGAAAGTGGAAGGAATATTAGATTTTATGATAGCTTGTGGTCTTCTTAAGGACTACAGTATATAAATAGAGATACAGTATTATCAGCATATTAAAATTTCAGTAGAGTGGGTGATTTAAGATAAATATATTTTTAGAAGTGACTTAGTAGGTTAAATCAAACTGAAAAAGGTTTGAGAAACAACTGTTCCAAACTCTGAAGGGGAGGGGATGTGGTGTGATATAACTAGGATAAAGGTCTTCGGGGAACTAAATAATAGTTTGTGTTTGCATTGGGTCAATGGGAATTGGAAAGTTTCTGATGGAGGTAGGAATTTCCCACTGTTTGGCTATAGGTCTAGGGGAAAAGAAATACTCCATAGTGTTGAGTGTTCTGAAAGAGAGTGGGATTTGGGATTAAAATTGGGAAAGGAGACTAATTAGAATGATAGAATACTAACATGAAACTGGGTTTGTGACTCTGTTGGGGAAGAAATGTAGTTAGGGAAATATAGTTAGGATGATGGGAGACTACACTTGATACATTCTGAGAAGTAGAGGGTTCCACAGAGGAGTATAGTTGTTCTGGGCCTAAATTGGGTCCAGTATCTTGAGACTGAAGGGATTTTTGGAGAAAACAAGGGAGGCAGGGTGTGTTAAGGAAACCAAGTTTGGATTGACAAAGGAATAGGGAAGACATGGTGGGGAAGTTATAACGTAATTACAAACTGGCTTATGACTGACTGACAACTTTCTTATTCCTTTCAGACTGTGGGAAAGAGCAGTAAGATGCTGCAGCACATTGACTATAGAATGAGATGTATCTTGCAAGATGGCCGAATCTTCATTGGCACGTTTAAGGCTTTTGACAAACATATGAACTTGATCCTCTGTGATTGTGATGAATTCAGAAAGATCAAGTAAGACCATTCTGGGTTTGGTTGGTGGGAGAATGAGGGAGAGGATAATACGAATAAGGAATTATAGAGGATAACTATTAAGGGAGGAGGAAAAATGTGGCAGGGCTAATCTATTGCCTCACACCTAAACCATTACTGTATTGGATTGGGGTCTCCCAGTCTTAAAGTCACTGTATTTACACTACTGTTTTAAGTTTGCAAACATACATGAACTTAATTTGGAATAGAACTCACAGTATGAACAGAGTATCTACATTTATTTAAAAAGTTATGAGATGGGGCATCTGGGTAGCTCAGTGGGTTACGCCTCTGCCTTCCGCTGAGGTCATGAATCCAGGGTCCTGGGATCGAGCCCCGCATCGGGCTCTCTGCTCCAAGGGGAGCCTGCTTTCCCCTCTCTATGCCTGCCTCTCTGCCTACTTGTGATCTCTCTCTCTCTCTCTCTGGCAAATAAATAAAATCTTTCAAAAAAAGAAGTTAGAAGATGTTATTAATAGGTCAGGTTCTGCAGCATTCCTGAGGGAATCTTAAGGATAACTGTCATGGCTGGCACAACAAATCGACCAGGATCGTGAGGGTAAGAGGATGAAGAAAAGAACTCAAGAAGCAGAGAGATGGGGGCAGGAGGAGCACTGAGGAGGATGTCCAACAGTGCTAAGTTTATTTAAAGCATTAAGGCCATATATATAGTGATATTACAATAGGAGAAGTAGTACATCTGTGTCTAGTTAAACAACCACGAGTTCCCATAATAAGTTTCACAATTAACTATAAGCAGACCTTGTGACGCCAAACGGGTGATGCCAGTATAATTGTTCTGTATTGATACAGCAAACCTGAAAGTAATTTATGGGCTGTACTAGGGCAGCAAGGACCAGCCATGAACTTATGACCCCAACCGAATTGTTCTCATTAGTTCAGCAAGCGTGTGGGAAGTCACGTAGGTGAGCGCACAACACATAGTACAGACCCTTTCTCAGTGCTACTCAACATTTCCCATCCTAAACCTTTTGTTAGGTTATTCAGACTTTAAAGGAGGCACAAGTCAGGGCCTGCTTTGGTCCTCGTCTCAAGCCTTATTGCGGCCTCCCACAGATAACAATTCGGACTTGGTGGTAGAGGAGTTTGGATATGATTAGAATACTCCAGGCTAAGTTCAACATTTGTTCTACTAGCTTCTTTGCATGTTCCTTGCTTTGGCCAAATTCATCATGTGCAGTATTGATTTGGTGTCCATTCTTAATTCTTTTTGCTTATTGTATTTATCATTTGCCCACTTCATTTCTTCAGGAATAACCTTTATGTTTATGCCTTACCGTATTAGGCTACCATCTTTATACCTGTGACCAGGGAGCTTGCTTTCACAGGGTGCTGTTGACTATCTGCAGCAAGATCACAGAAATTGGTGGATCTTAATGGCATCCTATTTCCACTCAGTTGACTTTTTTCATTCAGAGGAGTTGAGTTGGTGCTTGTAATACCTCTGGACATTCAAGATGGCTTTGTTTTAGGCTTTTATCATGGGGTAGAACTTGTGAGGCATCACCCTGGATTCTTGGCTTTATTTACTTTATTTCCACAGTCATTTATATCCAGAAGTTTAATTTGCCTATTTCATATAAGTTTTATTAAACATGCAGAAAAAGATAATGCTCAGCATGAGTTGTCTGCTGTACTCTTTTAAGTCTGTTCCTCTCAGGCAAAAAACATATTCAAAAACCTATTCCACATCTTTCCCTTTTCATGTATTTTCCGTCTCCTCCATGCACACCAAGTAGGATTATTTCAGATATTTTAGGATGGTGGCATGTTTCAGTGCTTTTTCTTGTGTGTAAATAATCCAGATTTTTCCCTAAAATACAAATTCTAAAGGCATTTGAGAGTTTTAGGCATATTAATTTCTGTTTCACTTTTCTCACTAAGATACAAGGATAATTTCACATGCATAATGCTTCAAACTGCGCATTATTTTCTGATAATACTTAGTGAGGATTGTTGAATGACATTGTCAGTTGATTTTACCCATATTACATAGTATATGCCTCATGAATATGTGATTTTTGCTGCTGACAGTTGTGACTACACAAGTTTTTTTTTCAATTTTGTTTTTAATTATAGTTATTTTACTTTATAGTTATATTATGTAAGTGGTAATGCCAATAATGCATAGTCATGTCTTATTCAAAGCCTTTTTTTTTGCCTTTATCATTTGGTATGAACACACTGCCTCTTATTGTTACTGTTTTAGTTGTCTGTCATCCAGATTTACTTAAAATATGATTTAAAAAAATTACTAACCATGTTAACATGAAAACACAGTACAATTTACTTGTCTTAAAAGTTTTAGCTGCATAATTTGCATTTTGTTTAATGAGGCAGAAATTAATATTGCTGAAATAAAACATTGAGGTAACATTCTGAAAAATTTTGATAGGAAAGGGGTTTACCATTTATCCTTATATGTCAGTGAGTCTAGTGGTTTTGTATTGGTCTTTGTTTTGTCATAACTTAGTAATAACTTAGTAACTGAGCATGAATATCTTCCATCAATTATTGTCTTAGTTGATACCTAACTTAAATTTTAGTGAGTCATCACTAATTTAATCTCAACAATGTTTACTTTGATTTATAGGCCAAAGAATGCTAAGCAGCCAGAGCGTGAAGAAAAGCGTGTTTTAGGTCTGGTGTTACTACGTGGGGAGAACTTGGTATCCATGACTGTGGAAGGACCACCCCCCAAAGATGTAAGGAAGCTGTAGGGTAGGACAGAACATTAATATGGAAGGACATTAGATTATTTGAGATGTTTGCTAAATGAAGGTACAATAAGGCATAATAATAATACACATTTGTCAAGTAAGATGTGCCCAGCACTTAATGTCAGTTCTTACTTTGCCATATATGGTGATAAAGGACTTTTCAATGAATTATTCTATGTGCTGGGACTACCTATCTAAGGGTGGGAGTGATGGATTTATATGTACTAAAAATTTGACATACATACTTTTAATGTGTTGAATGCCTCCATGGTGTACTTGTTTATTCCTTTGAATATGGAACTAATACAAACTAGATGATGTGAGAAAATAGTGGGAGGTAGTGATATTTTAGGAATAAGATTATTCATGACATTGGTAAATAATTTGATTTCAAATAATTTTTCTTGTTTCAGACTGGAATTGCTCGGGTACCACTTGCTGGAGCTGCAGGAGGTCCTGGGGTTGGCAGGGCAGCTGGCAGAGGAGTGCCAGCTGGTGTTCCAATTCCCCAGGCTCCTGCTGGATTAGCAGGCCCTGTCCGAGGGGTTGGGGGGCCTTCCCAACAGGTGAGGAGATAGGAGAAGGTTTTATATTATTTAGAGAACATGTCTAGAGGCCGAATAGATTTAAAAGCCTGAGTGCACATCCTATACCATGTAAGCAGCATATGTTGTAGAAGGTGATGAAAGACAAATACACATTAGGAGGGGAAAGGATTAAAGCTACTTTGATAAGAGGAACTTAGCAGAATGGGTGAGTAAAGAGAAATATGGATTGCTAAACCAGAGTTGAGGGATGCCTGGGTGGCTTAGTGGGT